AAGTTGGTCTTGCAAGTCCTATTGTTCGGACCTTGCAGTTGTTGAAGAAGCGTGACCTTCGAAGGAACAACAAAGCCAGCACGAGTGCAGTAGCAACATTGGCCTTGCGAAGATATACCGTGCAGAAATTCACACAAGTGTAATTGTTGGTTCATTATTCAACAACCAACTACATAGTGGATTTTGAGGACGTAAAAGGATTACCCCACCTTCGAACCTCGTTAAAGTTTGCGTGTCTCTCTCTTTTATCTTTATTCTTACTTGCAATTTTATTAACTGAGAAAACTAACCCATCCATATTGATTACTGCTCACTCTACCCACCAACTTCCGCACATAATCTAAAGTTCACAAGAACTCTAGATTAACACTCATTTTCACGTTTTCAAAAGAAACGAAAAAGTTTTTAAACTTGTAACAAAGTCTATTCACCCCCCCTCTAGACTTTGTATCTCACCACTTCGGGACCACCACAACTATTTTTTCATTTTCATCCATGCGCAGATTCTCATATCTGGTCATAAGAATATGTAGTTTAGCAGTTTTTACTCGTTCATCTCCTTCGTGGGTTGTTTCGAGGATCTCCCAGGCCTTCTTTGCTTCAGTGCAATTGGAAATAAGTCGGTACTGTGAGCTATCAACTGCCCCAAATAGTGCATTGAGTGCTCTATCATTGCATTCAGCCAGTGATGCTTCTTCCTTTGAGTATTTCTCAAAGGATTTTGCCACCTTCTATCCTTCTGCGTTGGTCTCTGTGGGTTCTGTCCACCCGGTCTCTATGCTTCGCCATACTCTTCCACCTTGAGACTTTAGGAAGGCTCTCATGCGCCCCTTCCAAAAATTGTAGTTTGGTCCTCGTACTAGTGGTGGTCATTGGACATTCGCACCTTCGTCCATGTCCCCCATGATCGATCAAGCTAGTAACTTAAGCTTAACTGCTCTGATACCAAATGAAATTGTCGTAGTGATTCTCAGTCACAAGAAGAATTACTTTCTACAAACAAGTCCCGTCAACCACTCACAAACGCGTAGATCACTGAGACAAACAAAGTGCTGGAACACTTCCTCTGTCACAAACATTCACACACAGAAAGACAAATAAAGAAAGTAAAAGTAGACACAAGAATTGTTTACGCAGTTCGGAGCAATTCTCCTACTCTGCGGGGCCCACGTCCGTGTAATAGCCCGTCCACTAAATCACTGCGAAGATTACAACTTCAACCACCATAGGTACCAATTAGTGGATTGAACTAATCTACCACATATGACTTAAACACATAACTCTGTTTGTGTTTCTCCCAATGGCATATTACACCAACCTTGATAACTTCTTTTATTGGACGTGCTGACAGCCCTTTCTCCAGCCCTTCCTAGTTCACCAGCTGGAAGTGGTTTTCATCAAAACCAAACATAGACCTGCGTTATGATCTGTGAACAGGCCACGAACTAGGCTTTTTGGCTCTCACGATCTGTTTCAGGAATTTGTATCTCCTCTCTCTCTCACACCCTCATCAACGTAAGGTCATGTATATATATGTATGGACATATGAGAACCCTACTCATAATCGTACTTGAATTCCACAGCAAATCACAATCCTAGACTGCATGGAACTCTATGGCAGCTTCGTAGGAATCCTTCTTCAGAAGGTCTTCTCCAGCTCGTAGAGGAAAAACACATGCATGACATGGCAGGACTCTACACCCAATCAGCTAGAAAAATACGTACAAACATTTCTACTAATTTGTTTTTGTCACAAGGATAAGGCCAACAAAAAAATAAACAAAATAATCAATAGCTCCCCCCCCTTAGTAACTAACCCAGATAACTAACAATATGAACAGTTTGTAAACAACATGAATATGTAATTATATATTAATTTCCTTGGGTGAGACATGATTAAAATATCATTTAAATAAGCTACGGGGCTCGGAACGGTCGACCGTTTAGCACGGTGGTCGACCGTGCTATATTTCAACTCGTCGGATTTCTAGGTCACCGTGATGGTCGATCGCGGTTGACCGGTGGTCGACCATTGTTGACTGGCTGGAAGTGATGGCCCTCGGCTGGACAGGCGGCGGTCGACCGTTCTGCTGACAGTCGTGGTCCGTTTTGAAGTTTTAACACGACGGTCGACCGTTTGCGTCGACCGTTTGGGTCTGGGAGTCTTACTCTTTATATTTTGGGTGTCTAAAATACTTCTTTAAGTCTTTTAAACACCTTTGATTAACATATACATATTGTTGGGTTGATTTCCAAGGTTTATATGTACTTATGTGTATATTAACTTTATGAATTTGGTGTATTTTGATCTCAACATATAGATGACTTATATATGCATCACATATATATTTTGGAATGATTTCAACATATGGATATATATATATATATATATATATATATATATATATATATATATATATGATATATGATGAAAAATGGTTAGGTCTAAATGGACATCTCTGATTTTTACAAAAGAAGCACACATTTAGATATATGTTGTAAGGGAGATTTTGATGAGGAGTTCAAAATTTTGGAGCCCCTGTTCTCAGACCACTTTGAGTCTTTGTTTAAGGAGTCTTATTGTTATCTTAAGGAGGCTATGACCATCTCCATGGTGCGTGACAAGTTGCTGAAGGGAATTTTAAAAAATGGAAAGGGCAAGGCCTTCAGGATGACAAGGCAATTATCAAAAAGTATTGAGGCTGTAGACTTAGTTAAGATTCAAGGTACCAATTTCCCGGTTTACTTAGTTTACGCAAATGATGACTCGAGAGTTATACACTCTTGCTATGGGGCTTTTTTACATGACTTCTAAACATTTGGTTTCTAGCACTTGGATAATCATTAGCTTGGTTCTTCGAGTTCACACAGTGGATGGTTACACATAATTAGAGCGAGGTCACCTTTTGCATATCTTCAATTTCATTTGGGTCTTTGAAACTCCTTAATTGGTTGAGTGGTTCATTGCTGGTTCCACAAAATGGTTTGGTTTTCATAATTCTTCCGCTTCTGATTTCGGGTCTCCCTTCATTTCTGCATTATCACTTTTCATCTTTTGTGTATGGTTGGCTCTCTTTCCGCTGGATTTTAGCCCATTAACTTCACACTGTTGGCTTTATTGGATTGACCTCCTGATGGGTAGATGGTCCTACTGCTTGGCGTATCTCTCTGCTACGCAGAATTTGGGCCATTCTGGACATGATCTAAGTTGCTATCACTACATCAAGAACAGGCATCCAGCTCGACTCATATGGACTTTAGCTTTTGGGTCTCCCGATTTATGATTTTTGTACTTATTGGTTTTTATTGTACTTTTTAGGTTGGTGGGGCCAATTGCCCCCCCCCCTTTGTACTTTGTTTTTTTTATCTTATTTTAATAAAAAAATATTTAATGATAAAAGAAATGGTTAGGTCTAGAGAGTGGGGGGAGCTAGGCGATTCTCGCCGCCGTCCCCAAGACCCCATCTCGGAATTCCGGAAACCAATACATTGCCACTACAGATATACAAACGCATTTAGAGATAGGGGGAAGAGAGGCGAGTCAATTCGCCGACCCCAAGCCCGATTTCTGGAGCTTTATAAACACCAATCCTACAGATTTCGAAGGAGGTATAGAGAAAGGGGGGATAGAGATGACTCTCGAGGTCGTCCCCAAGAAGGTGTTTCTAAGCTCCGGGAACCATTGGAACGCCATTTCTGCAAAGATGAAAGAAGGTATGATAGAGATTCTTCTCTGTGTAGTGATGGTAGAGGAAACCGTGGCCATCATAGTTGTTTCAATCTAAGAGGTTCCAATCTCAGATGGAGTTCTCCTAAGGCTCTCAATCGGAGACCTTACAATTATTATCCAGATGGACGGAAATCAACCACCACAGATCAGAGGGTTTCTGAAGTTGGATACGGAGCTTTGCAATTCAGTCACCCCCCTTGGCAGACTAGAAACTTGCACGCTTATTTCCTGCTTGGTAATGTTACCTATAATCTTTTTCACTCTCATCACAATCAAACCTTCTGCCTGGCAGTAGAGGGCAAAAGCAATAGTATAATTTGGTTCAACTATGATCTATTCAGCTAGGTTTTGGAATGCTTATTGAAAATTTACTCTGAGCCAAGTTGGGTGTTTAGTAAATATACTGGTAACAGGGATATGGTTGTGGCTGTTAATAAGGAAGCCAATGAGAATCAAGTAATCATTTTCGAAAAAAGAGTTGAAGGCAGCAGAAAGGTCTCTGTTCCAGTAGGGAACCAATTCAAGTTGATTAAAAACTTTGTCAAAAACCTCCAACTCTTCTATCGTAAAGCTAGGGAGAAATCAAAACTGGATACACAAACTGGAATGGCTTCGGATTTTCGGGTCCAACCACATTCTGGGAAATCAGGCAACTGTGGAGATTGGTATCCAATCGAAGAACAAACTCACCAAGTTGTTTCAATCTCTAAATCCTTACTGTGCTGGGAAAGTGAATCTCCCCTGACCTCCAATTTCTTTGAAGGGGACTTGGAACAATTGAGCAATGAGGGAGGGGTATGGCAGGAACACTCTTGCTCCAAATTATTGTTTGCCATGGACATTTCAGGTTTTGAATGTCAAACAAACAGTAAGGAAGATACTTCATTCTTTTTGGTTGGGAAGGAAGCTTCAGGGGCAGATTCTGGAGCTTTAGGTCCTAAAATTTTAACAGCCAGACCTTGGAATGAGGTGCTCATCGGTCCGCCTTCGAAGCTATCTCCAGAGGCCCCTCCGTTTATCCCCATTTCCTATAACCCGTTTGGGGTACTAGATTCCAATGAGGACGTCAACCTTGAAGAACCTTTGGAGACACATGCCAAAAACTTTGGTGAATCCATAGAGAAGTTTAACTGCTCATCTACTCAGCGGGTGTTGAAACTTAATGCGCTTGAGGATGCGCCCCCGGTAAATGATGAACCGGCCCTCTACACCCACTCGGAAGGGGAAACAACGGTGTTTATTGATTCCATTCTTCAACCCNAAGGGTAAGTCAACCTTTTCACCATCTCACATGGTTACTAGAAGTAGGGCTAAGTTAATATCTGCACGAAGGAAAGAACACCCCATTAAGGGAGTAGACACATCTGAGGATGAGTTTACCGTGGATGGCATTCGCTCTGCTTTCAAGGAAAGCTGCCCAACAATCAAAGAGAGGAAAATTCAACTTAAAGCTCCCCCTTTGGAACCACATACAAAGCTTAGCAAAAAACAGAAAAGGAAGGCTAAGCTAAAACTCAAACAAGCCCAAGCTATGGAGATGACAAACTTAGCACTTGATGCTAAATACACATTGGATAAGACTGATTTTGAGGATGAATATGATTTCTCAAATTAATTGTTGCTCTTGTATCTGTTTTTTTTATATCTATTTTGGTCCATTAGGGGCATGAACTTAGCTATTATAGCTTCTCGTTTTTCTTTTAGCTTTGGTGGGCTTGTTGGGGATTTAGCCTCCCCCCCCTCCTATTGTACTATTTTCTTTATCTAATAAAATCTTCTTTCTCAAATATATATATATATATATATATATATATATATATATATATATATAAAATAATATATATATATATATATATATATTCATGTACATACGTGATGAATGATTCGACAAGTCTAACGCAAGGGTACAGACCTGGAAATCATCGGCCGAAACCTTACGGAGGAGCGGGAGTGGAAACAACTTCAAAATTCACCAACTTTGTCATTCTCGTCACAATTGGACAGCCTGCCGTATTTTGGGCATATCTCAATCGTTTCTTCACGAAATTGCAAACCGTTTGATTCTATGGATTTCTAAGATGTAAGGCTATAACTTTTCTATAGAAAGTATTTCGAGTTAACAGATGTAATATAGCGTAAATCGGACCTGAAGTTAAAGGATAGTTGCTGTCCAGAATTTCGGATATGTCGATGAACAATGATTCCGACGATTAACTCATTAACTTCAATATTCCAACACCGAACCTTCTCTACGATAACTTCCGGATGTTCCTAATAATCGTTAGAGAGTTTATGGTAAGTGTTTGGAATGAAACAACATGAATATGGTGAGGAAAATGGTCCAACCCGAGGAGCTCGCCACCACTGGCGCAGTCCCGGTATTTTGGCCATATCTTCTTCGTTACTTAACGAAATCGCGAGCCGTTTGTTGGGCTGGATTTATATCGTCCGGGGCTACAAATTTGGTTTAGAAAGTATTTCGAGATAATGAATGGAAAATTTCATTTTTTACCTTAAAGTGGCTGCTGCGCTTTTGGACTCAAGATTTGGAAACCTCGATACTTCTTCTTGTTTTTCCATGTTCTTTCTTGGCTCATCAATGGAGTTGGAGTCTCTTTTTCTCCTTCCTTGATGGCTGGCCGACAGAGAGAGAAATGGGAAGGAAAGAGGAGTGTTGTGGATGGATGATGGGAGATGATGATGATGGTGATATAGTGAAATTTTATTCTTTTGTTTTTGGTTTTTAGTGTAGGATTGGAGATTTGGGAGTGGAGGTTGAGGTGGCTTGTAGACTTTAAAGGATTTCCAAAAGTGGCATACGTGATTGAAGAGATTTGGAGATAAGATATCACCACTAATAGGAGTAAAACATAGCCTATATCTCCAAAATAGGAGTGCTATGTTTTTATACCCAAAATAGGACTAAAATTATTTTCTTTAAAACAAATCGCACGCACGCGCACTTTATGGAGACTTTTTATGATTTTTGGAAAAAAAAATCTCATGCGCAACATCTTTCATTCTCGACCGACTGTGTCCCTTTGGCCTCTTTCCATTGAATTGTTTGATCATTCTTGCTGTTCTTGGGTTCTTTGGAATCATCTCTAACAAGGGTTAATCAATTCAAGCTCTTCCTTGTTGATTTGTGGCTGAAATTCGCAAAATTGAAGATTAAAATCCATGAGCTAACTATTCAATTGGAAACCTTACAACGTGGATTCACTACGATTTCGTCCAAATTGAAGGCCAGGCTTGAGGGATTAGGAGCGACTAGAGATGCTGATTGAGAATCCAAAGTTGGTCTGAGATTCGTTTCTACCAAGGTTCATGCTTCGTCTCCTTCATGCTTTTGGTGTTTTGGGGTATTGTTTAGGGGCCTTTCACTTTTTTTAAAGGATGATTTCCCTGATTGGATTGTTGTGCATGTTCTTCTGTTCTAGTGTTGTTCTTATTTTATGTTCGGGTTTGAACTTCTGGTTTGAGGCTAGGGCTATTGAAGTGTTGTTTGAGTGATTTATGAATTTTGCTAGAACCATGCAACTAATTAAATTGAAGAAGACGAGGAGGCTTTTGGGGTTGAGTCTCTTTGAAGATGTGAAGGAACTTGTTTGTTGTTTTCGTACAAGTCCTTGCTCACTACTTTGGACTTTTGGTGAGAACCTTTGAGGAGAATGTAGCTTTGGAGCTACTGGTTTTGAGGTCTTGCAGTACCTCAAAGTGTTCTTGCCATTCTTGGAGTGTTTTTTCCTATGACACTACGGTTGTTGTTTGCTAAAAGTTGGCGGCCTTTGTCGAACAGCACCTTGGATGGTAAGGGCTATTGTGGAGTCTATACCGATAGCTTTTCCCCACCTTGCCATCTGTTTCATTGCCACCATCGCCAAGTTCCTTGGGGACCAAGATGTTGGTTTCCTTCCAGCTTGATGGAGGTTGGGGACAAAGTTTGATTTCAGTAGAGGGTTATGGGCCACTTTCCAACCATCTTCTTGGTTGGGTTTAGGGATTTTCGGTGCAAAAGGATGCTGGCCTAGTTATGCTATGTTGGTCTCCATTTGTGTGCTATGCATATTGAGTGGGCATGGCGTTAGTGGCCTTTCCAATGCCATCGTCGCCCCTGCCCTCACCCCTCGTTGCCTCTGCCCTCACCCCTCTTCACCCCTGCCCTCACCCATCGTGCAATGTCATCGTCGCCCCTGCCCTCACCCCTCTTTGCCAGTGTTGGGGATGGTTAGTCTTTTGGCCGCCATAAAGGGGGCCGTAAAAGAAGTGATGGTCATTAGTATTGCAGGGTAGAGGTAATGTTGGGTTTGGAACTATGGCATTATATATGGGAAACTATGGCATTGTATATAACTACATGAGAAACTATGGCATTGTATATGTAAATCTATGGCATTATACACAGGAATATGTGGCATTATGCAATGAGAGCATTGTGGTCGTCGATGATGGTAAAAAATCAATGCCAACAATGGTGGATTTCGGTAGCGCACGCACATCATCGCAGTGGGGTTGGAGTAGGCTATCGGAGGAGAGAGAAGTGACCGTAGCATGCAACAGAGACGCGGTGGTAGTGGGCCACGTTGATGGCGGCAAGAGGTCATGGCGATGACGGCAAGCGGTGCTGGCATTGGCAGTAAGCTTCCATCAACAGCAGTGAGTTTCCAATTCATTTTCATTCTTTTATTTTGTACTAGCGTCACTGAGGGGGTGCTGGAGTTTGACAACTTTTTTATTTTTACAATAATTATGTTTTGGTCCAAAGATTGGAGTCCCAAACTCCCAATTTCATCGGTAGGCAACACATCATGTCAGCCTTTTTTTCTTTTTAATATAAATTACTTTAGTTATTACTCCTATTTAGGGGATTTTAAGTTTCAACTCTTATTTTAGGGATATGGTATATGTTTTACTCCTAGTTTGGTCCTTTTCCCTTTGGAGAGTTTAAAATATTCTCCTACTCCGTAACTGATAAACTGGCTAAAACGGTATGCTCTTTTTCGCCTAAACTGCTCTGAATTGAAAACGGATTGTGTTTTTAGAAATAGACTGTCAAAACTAGAATTTTGACATAATCAAAATATTTTTCTGAGAACTTTTATTTTTCTTAATGTTCGGGTCTGTCTCAGTCATAAATAAATTTTATAGTATGAATGAGATATAAATATATGAATTAAATCCAAATGATAAATATGGTGTTATCAAATGCCCAAGATTAATATTTCTAATCTTATGAAATCACTTTTGAATTGAGTTTATTTTATGGGTCAAAGTTACAAATTTTAATATTTAAAATCGCCATAGCTTGAAATCTATAAATTAGATTGGTTCATAAAATGTACCGTTGGATTCGTCTGTTCGAGACATATCCATAAAAATAAGTTTTTAACAAAAAGCCATTATTTTGAAAATCCATTTATTTTTGGTCAAACGTAAAGATATTCTTTATTGGACCAAAATAATATTTAAAATTACTCTTGTTTTATAATAAATTTTAGACCATATGTTGTGGCGTTACATTTCTTCCCTCCTTAAAGAAATTTCGTCCCCGAAATTTCCTTAGGTGAAATCATTCAAAATGATGATGTACAAAATCATTAATATCCATTGTTTTTGTAAAACAAAATTTTGAGAAGTTTTCTCTTTCTTTTGTTGAGTGTCATGATTATGACATGTTGTCCATTGATTATGACATTTTTTCTTTGAGAAAAGATATACGCGGATAATAGATGTAACACGTTTGAAATTATTTCACGGAGACTTGCGTCGAATATACTCTTAGACTTGCTATTAACGCGTTGTAGGAGTTTTCCAACAGTTCTTGTATGGACTGCGTTTCTTGAATTTGGGGTAATTTACACTATTTCTGCTTTTTTTTGAAATTCTTTTAGAATCATCCTCAGACGACTTTGTCTGGAATGTTGGTTTGACAAATTATGCTTTATTGTCTACAAGCTGGAACGAATTGTTTTTTTTTACGTTTGACGTTTTTACATAATGATATTTTGAGGAATGACTATTACCATAGTCATCATTCTAAGTTTCTAGATGGATACGAAATTATAGTTTCAAAACTCGAACTCTCATTAGTGATCCTTAATAGAGTTGTTCTGACTAACGTAATGTCAATAAGCTGATTAAAGCTTGGCTTATGCATGCCTATAACTGTAAACATGCATATCACACTTATATATCACAATAATATATTTTTTTATCACATTGAAATGACTGGATGAACTTTTGATAACATTTGTCATTTTATCACAATAATATATTTTTGTATTATCAAGATGACATGTAATCATTCTTGAATACTGATTTTCTGATTGATGATTCCAAAACTACCTTGGAATTTCAGACTTTCTCACTAGTTATGAAAGAACTTCATGCTCGAAAATTATAATATTAGTGTATTCTTCATATCACTAATATTCTACTTCACACAATAGTTATGTTATTTATTACCAAAAACATGATAAGTTATACACGTAGTCGTATTCTAATACGTTTGTGATTCCACAGATACATGCGTGGTTTTCTCTTGATGGTCCGCCCAATTAACTTGGGAAGGGATCACATTCACCTTCAGTGTGGTCGTATCCACCACAAAAGTGACAACTTTTCCTTTCTAGTTGTTGCACAGATGTTCCTTCGTTAGGGTCAAGGCAGAGTTGCTTGATCATCAGTGATAATAATTTTCATAGATAACGTAATCACATCAACTGTTTAGTAGTTCATAGAGTATGGTTTTGAAGATCGGTCTCATAAAATATCTTTTTGGTTTGATGGAGAATCATGAGTTAAAACAAGTTCTCAATGATTGGATATATAAAAAAAATATGGAATTTAATCTTTTCAAGATTGATCAAGTGAGATGCTTTAAGTGTGTAATTAACACAGCAACTCTGAATATTTCAAGGATGTAAGTCACAAGATATCAATATAGCGTATGTGAATTATCGTGGCAATTAGTAGGTGTACATCCTTTAATGTTTCACTCCTTCGGAGTTACTCAAGGGGGTCATTGTCTTAGGTAAATAACCATTCTGACTTTTCGTCTCGGATTTGAATGTATTTTAGGACAATGAGCCTAACTATTCCTGAGTCTCAATATGTCATGTCGTCAGCAGACTGTAGTATTGGTGAGTACATTCTTGTCTGGAGCAAATCCACTTTCCTGTACGTTTTTAGGCTGGTGATAATTACTTTTCCATCAATGGTCCAGTTTCAGAGTCTATATATATCAAATTGTGGCAGGAGCTTCTCACATTCTCACATTATGGAAGGAACTTCTCGAGCTCTTCCTAATACCATAAGATTCGTTGGTCTACTTGGTAGTCATGCTCTTGGTAGCAATCCAAGGTTCATGGCTACAGCGGTTGATCTAGGACGGGAATTGGTAAGGCGAAAAATCAGGCTTACCTATGGAGGAGGCAACGTTGGCCTTCAAGGAGCTGTAGCTTCAAAAATCTATAATAATGGTGGTAGAGTCAGGGGTTTCATACCAGGGCATATAGCATCACGAGGGGTCTACGGACCAACATATAGTGCAGAGTACACAGTTTCCAGCACCTATTGTAAGTATTTTGAGATGAATCATGTTGTGGAGGCTTTTATCGTACTTCCTGGAGGGATTGACACTATGGAAGGTTTATTCACTTTGATCTCCTGGGCATCAGAAGGGTTACACAGTAAACCCATTGGTCTTTTGAACATTGACGGTTATTTTAATAACCTAATGAAGTTTCTAGATGATGCGGTGAGGCAGAACTTCATGGCTTTGAATCAGAGGAAACTGTTCATTTCTTCTTTCTTTCTTGATGAGCTTTTGGACAAGCTAGAGTTTGCTATGGCTTTCCCAGGTCCTGGTTCTATTTATGACGAGTTTGCAAATCCTGGAAGATTAGACTTAGAGTTGCATCTGTAATATAATGTTATCCATGTACATTATGCGTTAGTCATAAATCTCGTTCTAAGCTGCATGACCAGTGCATTTTAGAAGAGTATTTATTTCCAACATCAATATGTACCATGTAATATTAATCCTTTTCTTTATCTTCCAGTCTCTCACAGTTGGTGTGACTGTTTCACATCTTGTTTTGTACTGTAATCTTGTTGCGACTTTTTTGCGTCAATAGGGTATACGAACGAGTCAATTATCTTAATGTTTGTATTTAGTTTCATCCCTATAATGCGTTTCAGATCCGATACAAATGTCGTATTAGATGTTTGCGAGGCTCTATTCATGTTCTTTAGAAAATGACAAATTCACTCTTGGGGAATTTATTCACTTCCTATTAGAGAACGTTCTTTCTTTGACGTATTCTTCGGCTTGATATATAGAAGTTGATTCACATCGTTCACTTAGCCATTCGCGTACTATGACATACGTATATGTCGCGCTTATCGGGTTTACAGTCCCTCTTCTTGATCTTCTGATGTTGACTGTGATCGTCGAAGAACATTTCGAGGCAATCTAAAGCTTATTGCAATCGGAAATATGTGGATACTAATAAATCAAAGGAAGCAAATTTTCAATGAGTTAAGCACATGTGTTATGCCATATTAACTTACTTGTTGATTACCTTCCCGGGGCAGAGATGTCGAGGAGGATGCGGATGCAGGACTTTGAAAATACTAACTCAATGATCCGAAAATCGTTTTGCTCTGATACCAAAATGTAACACCCCATTCCGTATAACCCGGAATTACACGAATTAAGGTGAAACGAGGGTTAAATAAAAATTTCGCTTGACATTTGAAAATGACAATTACTTATAACTATTAAGTTTACAGACTCTGGATCGCGACCCAATTGAAATATTTTCGGAGTAACGCAGAAGTACAATAATAATAAAATGATGACACATTTAAAATCTGATGATCAAACATTTGCCTGCCATCCTTGCATCTCTTTTGACTCAATGCCCTTCGGGAGTGGTTCCGTCATTGTCTTCTTGTTACCTACGTGTAGTCAACGAAAAATACAAACTACACGCTCAGCGAAACTACTGAGTGGTACCACGCTAGAATTGTAGAATAATTCACAGACATATACATATATATGCGTCCACAAGGTGTATAATAATATTCATGATATGGCACATTATATCATATGTTCAATTTGATGATTTATGATGATGGATATTTAATGATGATTACCTGATGGCATATTTAATCAATCTAATTATTCTTGATGATGATTACATGACACCTATGTAATCAATATAATTGTTCTTGAAAATGATTACATGACACCTATGTAATCAATGTACTTGATGATGATAACATGATTTCTCATTTAATCAATTTGATTGTTCTTGATGATGATTACATGACACCTATGTAATCAATGTACTTGATGATGATAACATGATGCATGAACCTAAACGTGCAAGGACAACCCTTGCGCTATGAGATTCGCCTAGGTTGTACGACGAACTCACGCCACCTGAGTCTCACGAATGAGGTGAGACTAGAAAAATGGGGGTGGTACTCGAAAGCCTGAATACCATGTACGTACACTAAGCCCGAACGTGTGATGTCGGACTGCTAAGTCCCGCACAATCACGCTATAAGAGACGCACGAGGCATGATCTCTTACGCATGCATATGATGTGATATGCTTCAATATGGATGGTGAAATGAATCATATGATATGAACAATTTGTAAACAACATGAATATGTAATCATACATTAATTTATTTGGGTGAGACATGATTAAAATATCATTTAAATAAGCTACGGAACTCGGAACAGTCGACCGTTTAGCACGGCGGTCGACCGTGCTATATTTCAACTCGTCGGATTTCTAGGTCACCGTGACGGTTGACCGGAGGTCGACCGTTGTTGACTGGCTGGAAGTGACGGCCCTCGGCTGGACAGGCGGCGGTCGACCGTTCGCCGTCGGCGGTTGACCGATCTGCTGACAGTCGTGGTCCGTTTCGAAGTTTTAACACGACGGTCGACCGTTTGCGTCGACCGTTTGGGTCTGCGAGTCTTACTCTTGATATTTTGGGTGTCTAAAATACATCTTTAAGTCTTTTAAACACCTTTGATTAACATATACATATTGTTGGGTTGATTTTCAAGGTTTATATATACTTATGTGTATATTAACTTTATGAATTTGGTGTATTTTGATCTCAACATATAGATGATTTATGTATGCATCACATATATATTTTGGAATGATTTCAACATATGGATTTATATATATATATATATATATATATATATATATATATATATATATATATATATATATATATATATATATATATATATATATATATATATAACCCGAAAAAAACACCAAAATCAGTTGGGTAAGGTCCAGGCCACCCTTACCAGTTTATTAGAGAGAATACATAATACACGTTCGAGGAGGACTAGACCGAAGCCCCGAAAGTAGGACAACCAAGGAAAAGTAAAAGACAAAAACAAGAAAGTCAACAACTACAGCTGCCAACTAAACACCATCTGCATCATCTTGCCAAGTTCACCTCTTCCCCCCTCTCTGCGAAAGGAACTGCCCCCATATTCTGCAACTCAACCGAAAGCTGAAAGGGAGTCCTTCCACCTTGAATCTCCTTCCCAGATAGAAAGAACAGATTGAATCCCAGGTTTGTGAGATTGATATAAAAAATCATCCATTTTTTCCCCCTCTTCTTCCAACTCCAATCTCTTAGAGTTTCAAGGATCCCCCTCTTGACCTTGGCTATGTTAATAGAGTCTAAATCATAGATTATTCTATTATATTCTTTCCAAATATGCCAAACAATAATCCCTGGTAGAATACCTCGCAAATGTCCTTTGAGGTTATTCCTTCTTTGTGACAGATTCCATTCCAATATATGTTGATTAAGGTTTAAGTTGCTTCTAGGAGTAGGGCCATCTACTGCTTATGCAAAGAACCTCCAAAGACCCATACTACACTCACACTGATATAAGACATGATCTTTTGATTCTTCCGTAATCTTACACAGAGGGCATATAGAGGCTAGGTGCACCCCCATTGCCCTTAACTTATCTGGAAAAGGTAGAAAAGAATTGATAACTCTCCAAAGGAAGAATTTTACCTTGGGGATTTGATCCTTATTACAGCAGTATATGTAATTGATTTGAGTGGGTTTGGCTTGTCTGCAAATGTTGTATGCTTTTTTAAGAGAGAACTCTCCATCAATCCAGGTAATCTGGTCACCCATATCACTGCAGTTTTCTGAGGCAATGTTGTGAATTCTGCATATTCTTTTCCAAACAGGTGAATCATAAAGTCTTTCTTCAAAATCCTTTTGTCTAAGGTACTTGGCTCTCATAAACTTGGCCCATTTGGTAGTGTCAGTTTGAACTTTCCACCAAAGTTTAATTGAGTAAGCATCTTGGATATCTTCCAGACTTCTCAGTCCTAGCCCTCCCTCTGCAGTTGGAACACAGATGTTCTTCCACTGACTCCAATGATACTTAGGTTTACCATTCTTGAAACCCCAAAGGAAATTAGCCATTTTCATGTGCAGACTCTTAATGATTGATTGGGGCAGGCAGTGGACTGCAATGATGTGGAGAGGAATAGAAGATAAAACATGTTTGATAAGTACAAGCCTCCCCATAGGGTTTAGAGTAGTGCTGAACCAAGAATTCATGTACTTGTCAAAATGGCCCAGTAGTTTTGAGCAGTGATGTTTCTTCAGCTTACCTTTGATCATAGTAGCCCCAAGATAGGTGAATGGAAGGGTCCCATGATCCATGCCCAGGGACTCTGCCATAGTAGCAATTTTAGTGCTATTGACTTTATTCGCAGTATAAAAACAGCTTTTGTGAATATTAATCTGCTGCCCAGATCCCTTCTGATAGTCCTCTAGAATCCTCTTAAATTTAGAAAGATTTCTAGAATCTCCATTCACAAAAACTACTAAGTCATCTGCAAAAGCTAAATGATTGACCATAGGGTGATTACCAGTGTTGAAGCAACTCAGATAGTTGTTACTCATATGAAAATTAATCATTCTAGAGAATCCTTCACTACTGATCACAAAAAGAAGAGGGGATAGAGGGTCGCCTTGTTTAACCCCCCTCTTCATCTAAAAAAATCCAACTGGGGTTCCATTTACCAAAATGGATAGATATGAACCCACCAAGTTAGCCATTAAGAGCTTTTGAGAGAATTCAGTAAAAGCCAGAAGATTCAGAATATCCTTAAGATAGGTCCACTCCACTCTATCAAATGCTTTGTCCATATCCAATTTGATTATGCAATTATCTCCCCTAACCTCCTTGTCAATCATATGAATCATTTCTTCTGCCAAAAGAATTTGTTCTTGAACCCCCTTGTTCTTTTGAAAACCAGTCTGTTCCTCTGAGATGATTTTAGGAAGAAGGATAGAAAGTCTACAGGCTAGGATCTTGGTGTTAATTTTACTCATGAAAGTGGAGAGGGAAATGGGTCTAAAATCACCAAAACTTTTTGGGTCTTCAACTTTAGGAATCAGAGTAATGAAGGTGCTCCCAAATGACTTAGGAATCGGAATTCCCAAAAAGAACTCCTGACAGGCTAGAATAACATCCCTCTTGATAATGTGCCAACAAGTTCTAAAAAAGTAGCCATTGAAGCCATCAGGGCCTGCTGCACTATCTGAATTAAGAGCCCAGATTGCAGAGTAGATCTCTGATTCTATTGGCATAGAGCAAAGCATCTGGTTGTGAAGGTCATCGATAACTTGAGGAATAAAGTTGGTAATAAGTGCAGTATCTGGGTGATTAACAGTTGTGTAGCACTCAGAGAAGTAATTGACTGCCTCCCTGCTAATGTCCTCCTGAGTTGAGTGATGGTTGCCATTAGCATCCTGAATTGATCTGATAGTAAGTTTACTTCTTTTGTGTTTAACAAAAGAGTGAAAAAACTTGGAATTGCAATCCCCCTCAGACATCCACTTTATGTTAGCTTTTTGTTTCCAGAAGGAAACTTCCCTGTTAAGGCTAACAGTGAGATTAGCAGCAGCAAGATTGGCAGCAATCCTCTTCTCTTCATTAGGATCAAATTCATATTCTTCTTGAGCCTTACAAGCTTTAATTTCATTGTCTTTCACCTCTTGGAAGATATTGCCAAAGTGCAGTTTGTTCCAATTAGAAAGAGTAGATTTAAGACCCTTAAGCTTCATAGCTAGACCTGCCATACCTCCAGTCCTCGGGCTATTAACCCAATAATCATTAACTGTAGTTAAGAAATTGTGATGGGTGGCCCAGACATTAAGAAACCTGAAGGGTTTAGGCCCTTGGAATCCCTCTTCCTTACAAAGGAGAAGAATAGGTTTGTGATCAGATGAAGTCTTACTGAGGTGGGAGATGCTAATATCACTGAAAAGGATATTAGCATTAGAGTTGATGAGAACCCTATCTAATCTCCTCCAAAGTTTTCCCTTACTTCTTACTCCAGTCCAAGTGAAAATCCCACCAGTGAAGGGAGGTGAGTGAAGCCCACAAGCATCAATACACGTCCTAAAATCATCCATATCATTAAAATCTGGATTTGAGTTACCTTTATGCTCATCAAAGCTAAGAATAGTGTTGAAATCACCCCCCACAATCCAAGGGTGATTAAAAGTGTGAGCCTTGTACATTTCCTCCCAAAGAATCTTTCTTCTGGCTGTGTTGTGACCCCCATAAACAGCAGTGGTTGTAATATTAGTGTTGAGTTTGGTGTTCCAAAAGTCAAAATTGAGACACTGGCTTGCCTCCCAGCACCCTTGAAGATTTAAAGAATAATCTCTCCAAAAAATCCACATTTTATTATTGAGCCCACCTTTGGAAAAAGGAAAACCCAGGTTGGTTCTGTACCAATCTCTTTTATCAGCAGAGACTATTCGCTCAATAACACAAAGGAAATCAACTGAGTTGGAAGTAGTTAAAGTTTTTAGCCTATTAAGGGATGAGGCTGCTCCACGATCATTCCAAAATAGGCAATTCATAAAAACTTTTTAAAGGGTCCTTCTAAGCTTCTTGTTTGACTCCTAGTCATAATTGTCCTTGCATAAGAGTTTTTATTCTTGAATGTGGCTTTAGGGATAGCAAGAACTGGAGAATTTTCTTTTGGAATAGGAATGTCAAGAGGTTCCAGAGCACCGTTGATCCAAACAGTTGGTTCCCTTTCCCCTTCTGAGTGGTACCCTGCTTCATTGATGACATTATCCTCACTTTCTTTATCAGAACCCAAATCCTCTATATCAATTAATTGAATCTGATTCATAAGGGAGTCATCCTTGGATCCCTTAGGTAGAGATTTTGGATGGAGAGAAAAATCAGTGGAATTTAGGCTGTCCTTGTATTTGTTGATTTTATCCTGATTGCTATCTTCTGGATGCAGGAATAATTTGGAAGCAAATTTTTTTGCTGCAGAAAATGAGGGAAAGTGCTCCTGAACATTGAAGAGGCTGTGTAGGCCCCATGGAGAGGATACTGTCAAAACTCCTGCAGCCTCCTGGTGAGTAGGTCCCTCCACTAAAATTGAGCTAATAATAGTCTCTTGGTTAGGAAGAGGATCTTTTCCTTTAGGGGTAGTGTCAAATCCTGTGGCTAGAGCTTTATTAGCTTGGCTTATAGCTGTTGGAGAAGAACCTGGGCCCCTGTAGATTAAACTGACCTGTTGTAATGTAGTATTTGATTTATCTTTAGGAATCCATTCCTGAATAACTTTAGAGGATGTAGCCTGGCCCCTCTTGGGTTTTCCCTTATCCAATGTCCAGCCATCCTCCCTAGTTATAGTGAATGGCTTGTGTGAGTGTGTATCTTGGCCCTTCTTAGAATTATCTTCTAATATCCATCCATCACTCACCAAACGCTTCTCTGAATAATGCACAGGTCCTATAGTTTGTGTATGGAGTTTCTGCTTGTGTTTTTTACTTTTGACCACCATCCAACCCTTACCTTCATTGTTGCTAGATTCCACTTTTTTACCCTTGGTAAAAAAAAGAATCTGGGGAGGCTCCATGAATTTTGCACAAGAATTTGGATGGCCCAAGTTTATGGCATTGCTTGCAGTAGCTTGGAACACTTTCAAACTTACAGGGGAGGATTATTTCTCTTGGACCAATTCGCAGATGAATGTTAGAAGGTAAGGGATTGGCAATGTCAATTTCAATGCAGCATCTAGCTTCCCTAGTTCGTATAAGGTTGATTGTTTGGGAATCCAAGAGACAAGGTTTACCTAATGT